TTGAGTCTTGCTCTGTGCCCAGGCTGGAGTGCAATGGCGGGAACTCAGCTCACTGCAACCTCAGCCTCCCAAGGTTCAAGCAAGTCTCCTGCTTCAGCTTCCCAAGAAGCTGGGATTACAGGCGCCTACCACCACGCCTGGCTAATTTTTGTATTTTTTTGTTTGTTTGTTTTTTAGTAGAGTCGGGGAGTCATCATGCTGGCCAGGCTGATCTCAAATTCCCAACCTCAGGCTCTCCGCCCGCCTCGGCCTCCCAAAGTGCTGGGATTACAGGCGTGAGCCACCGCGCCCGGCGGGTTCGCGTTTCTGAGAATCTAATGCCACTGATCTGAGGGGCGGTGCTCAGCTTGCTTAGCTCATCCTGCAGTGCAGTACCTTTACAGACCACTGACAGGGACCGGACCCCTGCTCTAACCCTTTCCCAAGGCCCCATTGAAATGAGTTCACTGTCACCTGGGAAGTCACAGAAAGCTTGAAAAGCCTAAGGTATACACTGGGGATGGTTTGGGGAACCTGGCTGGGAAAGCTGTCCCTGAGAAAGGGAAGTGGGCAGGTTGGAGGTAGAAGAGGGAGTCAGTGATTGACTAATGAGTGGAGAGCACTGAGGACCCACGATCAAGTTTCCGTTTGTACCTTAGTCCTAACACCATCCAAACCCAGATACTCCCAGGAAATCACCCCGACCTGCAACTTCCACCAGCCTTCCATGAAACCTCGATTTTCACCAACAGGTTATAATGATCGGTTAGGTGCCTGCATCTTACCCTGTAAGGTGAACCGGAGAGAAAGAACAGTGCTATTCCGCCCGCTGCCCCCGCCCTGGCCTGGCACAAGTACTGTCCCCTCCCCCATACTGTTTATGTAACGTTTGTGGAACGGTTTTCACAATTTGCGGGTTCTAGGGAAGTCCAAGTCCAGGCCCAGCTTGCTCACCCAATAACTTCACCAGGGGGCGCGGCGGCCCCGGCGACTCAGCGACTGTGGGGAACGCTTCGGGCTCGGAGCGCTTAGCGGGCGGTCCCCGCCAGCCCCTCCCTACGACCTGGGCGGGAACCGAGGCCGCGCGCAGGCCGCTTCTAACAGGGGCCCCCCACTTTGGGAGTCATCGCCGGAGCCTGGGTGCCTGGAGCTCCGCCCGCCACCCCTTCCCGGGCCCGCTGGAGCCCGGCGCCCCGACCCGGGGCCGGTAACCAGGCGCACATGGCCTGCCCGGCCCTTGTTTGTCCTGGCAGCGCGCCGCCGCTATTTGAAGCGGTTTTTATCTCCCAGAAACCAGCAAAACCCCATGCGGAGTCTAGGGAAGATGAAAGGGGCCGAGGGGCTGGGGAGGGGAGGACCGCGAGGCTGCGGCGGGAGGGAGCTGGCACCGGACAGGCGGAGACCGGGAGGCGAAAGGGCCAGACTCTGGGGGGTCCGGAGGAGCCTGCCCGGCGGGGTTGGGGCGGGATCCCGGGGGTCCACCCTAGGCCGCCGCCTCACTCAGACCAGCTCCAAGGCACCCCCTGCCCTTCCTCCGCCCCAGCCCCCTCTCCCGGGTCTCTTCAGTCACAGCCCCCAGCCCACTAAAGAAGTCTTCGGAACTCGGATTTCTTCAAAGCGCCTTTGAAGCAGCGCTCCCAGCCAGAGGGCAGGAGATTTCGCACCTGGGCGGGGGCGGGAGTGGCGTCAGGGTGGGGAGGCGGGTCGTAACCCGAGACCGCCCAGGGTCGCCGGCCCCCTCCCAGCCGTAGCAGCACCTCCTGCGGCCAGCGCGGTGGACTGCCTGACGCGGGGTGCAGCTGGGAGTCGGGTCCAGGTTGGGGGGAGCGGCCTGTGCGCCCCCTCGGCCCAGCTGGGTAACTTTGGGAGGCGGGGGCCGCACAAAGCCCTATTGTGGCTTGGGAATGGCTGCCACAGTGTGGCTTTTGTTCCTCTGCTAACTCCGTGGCGGGCACAACTGATTGCAGGCCCGGGGCAGGGGGCGGGTGACGTGCCAGGCCGCGTCCGCCCGCCGGGAGCCGCACCACCGCCGGACTGGGGCGGCGCAGTGGTCCGCACTGCAACCGCGGTGCCCGCGCTCGGGCCGCGTCACTGCACTGACGAGGGTCGGTTGGTGCAGTCCAGAAAGGGCCAGGGTAGAAACCAGTGAGTCTTCCCGACTCTGCAGAAAGCACTGCACGCCCAAAAACTGAACACGGCTGGAGGATTTGACCGATAAACAATTTTGTGTTTTGTTTTGAGACGGAGTCTCGCTCTGCCACCCACTCTGGAATGCAGTGGTGCGATCTCTGCTCACTGCAATCTCCGCCTCCTAGGTTCCAGCGATTCTCTTGTCTCAGCCTCCCAAGTAGCTGGGACTACGGGCGCCTGCCATTACGCCTGGCTAATGTTTGTATTTTTAGTAGAGACGGGGATTTCACCATGTTGGCCAGGATGGTCTCGAACTACTGACCTCAGGTGATCCGCCTGTCTTGGCCTCCCAAAGTGCTGGGATTACAGGTGTGAGGCACCGCGCCTGCCGATAAACTATTTAACCGCGAGCATAGTAAGCAAACAGGCGCAATAGAATATTCGCCCATGGGTGGGTAGTCCCCAATTTGCCAAAGAAAAAAATCTTTGAACCACTCTTCGCCCTTCCTCTTCTCTTTTTCTCACCAGGACAAAATTTCAAATCCAACTTTTATTTATTAAATTAAAAAAAAAAAAAAAGAAAGATTCCACAAAGGGCATAATCCCTTCCTTTCCACAATGTTCTCTCCCCAAGCTCCAGCGGCTTTAACCCTTTAACTTGGGGCCTTGAGACAGCAGGGGACAGAAAAGGAGGATCCAAATTTACAGGAAAGGCACTAAGCGGCTTTAAAAGTCACTGGAGGTGGAGGTGGGAGCATCGGAAGTACCAGGGTGGGGGCACGTGGGTGCACTCCCAGATCAGCTCGGGAGCCTCTGTCCTCCTAGCCCTGTAAGTTCTTCTTTCTCAGGGCTGCCAGGCACCAGGTCTGGCACAGTGCCTTGCACAGAGTAGGCACTCAATAAATACTTGATTTATTTGAATTTGATCCCAGAGAAAGCCTTCCCCACCCATTCTTCAGGAGGTGTACCTCCAAACCAATGTCCCCCTGTTAGATGGACTTCCCCAAAGAGCACGTCTAAGATGGCAGCTGCAAACCTCCATAACCATGGCAACAGGGGATTGACCTGATGGGGTCATGGTGTCTAAGGGGAGGGGCAGTGTAAGAGCCTGCTCTGGGGTCAAGGGAGCTGGGGTACATTCCAGTCTTTCTCCCCTCCATAGGACTTGAGGTTTCACAGCTTCTGGCTGGGGCTGGGGATATTAAGTATCCCCTAATCAAGAAATACCCCATCAACTCTTTAGCAGAGATCTAGCTAACCCAATGTGTAGAGACTTCATTAAAAGAGAAACCCCATCGATTGAGATCCTGATGATAGACATTCTATTAACAAGGCCTTCTCGGCCGGGCGCGGTGGCTCACGCCTGTAATCCCAGCACTTTGGGAGGCCGAGGCGGGTGGATCATGGGGTGAAGAGATCAAGACCATCCTGGTCAACATGGTGAAACCCCGTCTCTACTAAAAATACAAAAAATCAGCTGGGCATGGTGGCGCATGCCTGTAATCCCAGCTACTCAGGAGGCTGAGGCAGGAGAATTGCCTGAACCCAGGAAGCGGAGGTTGCGATGAGCCGAGATCGCACCATTGCACTCCAGCCCGGGTAACAAGAGCGAAACTCCGTCTCAGAAAAAAAAAAAAAAAAAAAAAAAAAAAACCAAGGCCTTCTCCACTAACATTTTGTCTATACAGAGATACATTTGGCTAGAATTTTCTGGCAGAAATGGATCCGCTTCCCTCCCCAGCTCACTCAACCTGACCCGTCATCATAACTTACATAAATAGAATTATTATTATTACTATTCATTACTCCTGGTACATAGGGGTTAAATATACAGGCCTGGGGGCAGCCTCCCTGACCCTGGGGTCACCCCATCTTTGGGATCAGATCCCCACTGGTCTGCCCCCTTCTTGGCACCCTGCCTCTGGCCAGGTCACTAACCCCAATCCCCCTAACCATGGTCCCTGATGAAGAGGCCACCAGGGGGCAATAAATTATCATCATTATCATTGTGTTTGTGAAAAGGAAAAAAGGCTCTGGAGAATGGCAAGCAATGGTGGGAAGCTGGGAAGACTGACTGGAGCCTGGAGGCTGAGGGACAGCAGTAAATAAACTTGAGAAGCAGAAAGGGTACATACATGTCAAGGAGCTAGATGAAGAACTATTATTGGGAGCCCAAATGGAAAGAAAGTGAGTTGGCATAGCAGGGCCAGAGTCTAGGAGGCTGGAGTGCAGGAATCAGGCACAAAGGGAGGGCCTGAGATGAGACTTTCCAGAAAGCCAGTCTCATGGTGAATGGAGAAGGTGAGATGAGGAGGCATGCAAGGAGATACCCAGGCTCAGAATGGCCAGGAGGGAGACAGAGGGAGAGATCCCCAAAAGATGCATGCGTGGGGTAAAGAGAGCGATTGTCAAGCAGTGGTCCAGAGAGCCAAGAGAGACTGGCAGGTGAGCCCTGGGGTGGGAGGCCTTCCACCCAGCTCAGATCTCCAGCAAGTTGCTCTGCTCAGGGCTGGCTCCAGGGGCTTTCTCTGGGGTCGCTGGTGAGGCAGAAGGTCGGGGTGTCTGACTGGCCTCCTCTTCCCCAGTGTTGCGGCCCTCCCCTAGCTCCTTGGGGCCACTGGGAGGGGGACCTGGGCCTGGCTCGCCGTGGGTGCGCTGGTGTTTGCTCAGATGGTCGCTCCGGGTAAAGCGCTTGGAGCAGAGCAGGCAGGTGAATTTCTTCTCCCGGGTGTGAGTGCGCACGTGGCGCTCCAGCTCATCCGAACGAGTGAACCGCTTGCCGCAGAAAAGCCAGTTGCAGACGAAGGGCCTCTCGCCCGTGTGCCAGCGCAAGTGGGCCTTCAGGTGCGAAGCCTTGCCATACACCTTGCCGCAGCCAGGGATGTGGCAACTGTGGATGGGCTTCTTCCGCAGCCCAGCTGCTGCTGCTCCCAGCCGCTCTAGCTCCTGGCAGTTGGGGCAGTCACAGGAGGAGCGCCCTGCCCCACTGCCCCCATATCCACCACTGCCCCCAGTGCTGGCGCCCCGTGGGGGTTTGGCTCCACCACTCCCCTCTAGCTGCCCGCTATTTCCCACTGCCTTGGGTTTATAGACGTCTTGGGGCAGGACATGCTGGGGCCCTGGTTGCAAGAGGTGGGGAGCTGGGTAGGGGGCTGGATTAAGGGGGGCAAAATCGGATGGGTAGGTGGGCAGCTGGGGGTTCAGTGGAGGCTGAGCAGGGCCTGCAGGCAGTGTTCCTTGCAGTCCATCACCCTGGCCCTGCCCCCCACCTAGCCAGTTGCCTCCAGGGTGCATGTCCCACCAAGGAGTAGGAGCGTTGCCCGGGCCTGGTGAAATTCCTGCATGGATGCCCGCCTTGTACCAGGAACCATAGGGGTGTGTCATGTCCAGAGAGGTGTAGACACTGGGTAGGCAGTCAGAAGAGCTGTGCCCCTTGGGCACTAGTAGCCCAGGGTCCTGGGTGCCAGTGGGCCCAGGGAATGAATGGGAAAAGGGAGGGTAGTCATTGGCATAGCCTGAGGTGGGTGCTGGAGGACTGCCTGCAGGTGAGAGGAGCCCATTTGTGCTTGAAAAGGGGGCTGGATAAGCATCCCCCATGGCTTTGGGGGCTGAAAGGTCACTGCCCACAGAGTACGGCTTCTTTGTGCCCACTTTGCCCAGTGTTGTTGAGTCCCGAAGAGGGCTGGAGCCACCAAATTTGCTGCAGGCTGCCGTCAGCATGGCCAGGGGACTGGAGCCATAGTGAACTTCCTCCTGTGGAAAGAGGGATGCACTGCTTAGGGAGAGGGGAGGACAGGTGCAGAATGAAGGGCAGCTTTTTAGGACTGAGACCTAGAGACATCCGTAACAGAACAGAGAGGTCAGGGAAGAGTTGAAGAGGGTGGAGACTTACAGGTAAAAGAGGTTGGCCAGTAAGAACTGGAACTCAGGGCAGAGCTCACATGGAGTCACAGGAGAACAGAGGCTGAAGACTGCAGCCCAGTGCCCTAACCTGGGAGGCAGTAGGCAGAGCTCATTCTGGAGTTACTAGTGATGTCCAAGGGGCCTCCAAGGAACAGGAACCTCTTTTCTTTTTTGAGGTAGAGTCTTGCTGTTGTCGCCCAGGCTGGAGTGCAATGGTGCGACGTTGGCTCACTACAACCTCTACCTCCTGGGTTCAAGAGATTCTCCTGCCTCAGCCTCCTGAGTAGCCGGAACTACAGGCGCATGCCACCGCGCCCAGCTAATTTTTTTGTATTTTTAATAGAGACAGGGTTTCAGCATATTGGCCTGGATGGTCTCCATCTTCTGACCTCATGCTCCACCCGCCTCAGCCTCCCAAAACGCTGGGATCACAGGTGTGAGCCACCAAGCCCAGCCTATGTTTTTAAATAAAAAGAAAAGAAGATCAAGTGTGGTGGCTCACATCTGTAATCCCAGCACTTTGAGAGGCTGAGGAGGGTGGCTTTCAAGGTCAGGAGTTCAAGACCAGCCTGACCAATATAGTGAAATCCCATCTCTACTGAAAATACAAAAAATTAGCCAGGTGTGGTGGCAGGTGCCTGTAATCTTGGCTACTCAGGAGGCTGAGGCAGGAGAACCACTTGAACCCTGGAATGCAGTGGCACAACCTTGGCTTTGCCTCCCAGGTTCAAGTGATTCTCCTGCCTCAGCCTCCCACGTAGCTGGGATTACAGGTACATGCCACCACGTTCAGCTATTTTGTATTTTTAGTAGAGACAGGGTTTTACCATGATGGTCAGGCTGGTCTCAAACTCCTGACCTCAAGTGACCCACCTGCCTTGGCCTCCCAAAGTGCTAGGATTACAGGCATCAGCCACCATGTCCAGCCAAAAAACTTTTTTTTTAGAGACAGGGTCTCACTCTGTCTCCCAAGCTGTAGTGCAGTAGCGCCATCATAGCTCACTGTAGCCTCAAACTTCTTTTTGGGCTCAAGCGATCCTCCCACCTCAACCTCCAGAGTAGTTAGGACTACAGGCACATGCCAGGTGGCTCTTTTTATTTTTATTTATTTATTTATTTATTGAGACAATGTCTTGCTCTGTCACCCAGGCTGGAGTGCAGTAGTGCAATCTCGGCTCACTGCAATCTCCACCTCCCAGGTTCAAGCAAGTCTCCTGCCCCAGCCTCCCGAGTAGCTGGGATTACAGGCGCTCACCACCATTCCTGGCTAATTTTTGTATTTTTAGTAGAGACAGGTTTTCACCATGTTGACCAGGCTGGTCTCGAACTCCTGACCTCGTGATCCGCCCACCTTTGCCTCCCAAAGTGCTGGGATTACAGATTACAGGCCTGAGCTGACACATCAGATTTTTTTTTTTTTTTTTTTAGAGGGAGAGTCTTGCTCTGTCGCCAACCTGGAATGCACGATCTCAACTCATTGCAACCTCCACTCCCGGGTTCACGCAATTCTCCTGCCTCAGTCTCCTGAGTAGCTGGGACTACAGGCACACATCACCACGCCCAGCTAATTTTTGTATTTTTAGTAGAGACAGGATTTCACCATGTTGACCAGGATGGTCTCAATCTATTGAGCTCATGATCCACCCTCCTCTGCCTCCCAAAGTGCTGGGATTACTGGCGTGAACCATCGTGCCCAGCCTAGCTCTTTTTAAATGGCTGTGGGAAGAACTGGTGAAAGAGACAGCAGCTAGCTGAGGTGGGAATTGGGGATCCTGACCTTTGGAAGTCGGTTTGGAGCAGAACGAGGCCATGGTCAGGGTCTTGAAGAGGAAAGATGGGGCTCAAAGAGCAGCATGGGGAGAAGACCAAAGTATTAGAGGACTGTATTTGCTCCCATGCCTTATTTTCCAGCCTTATCCCATACCCCCTATTTCGTTTTCTGTCGCTGCATCAGCTCCTGACTAAGGCAGTGGCCTGGTCTCCCTGAGGTCCAATCCTCATGTCCCTGGTAAGGAATCTCTTGGCAGGGACTCAGGCTGGGGAGCAAGAGGAAGTGATGGTGGAGACACTGGGACATTGAGAGGGAACAGGGCTGCAGCCAAGCCAGAACTGTGGCTGAGACAAGAATGCCTTTCAAGCAGGCAGTGTGCACCTCCTGCTTTGTGGTGCCAGCTGGTACCCCTCTGAGAGGGCTAGAAGAACCCAAAGTCATCATGCCCTTCCAAGGCAAGGAATTGGGGTGACTAACATACTGGCTCACAGCCACATTGCTCCATGCCTCAGTGTCCCCTAACACATAGTCCTTCTAGCACCGTGAATGACGGAAGATATGGATGTAGTGCATGGGTGTCTTTTCGAAACGTAAAGTATCTTGTTAATGCCCACCATGCTGCTGCTACCAGGCCAAATCACCCTCAGGAGCTCATGGTACCTCTCTTTGGGTGTCATCCAGGGAAGAAATGCTCTATAGCATCCCTGGCTGGCATAGACATTCATGAATTGCTGGGAATCCCATCAAAAAAAATGCCCTCAAAATCTAACCCTATACAGTTATATGGGTTTGAAAGGACTAGAAAAGCAGTTTTGAGGATTGGGGTCTTCATAAGCTGATATGCCTGTTGCTTTCCCAATAAAGCAGAGAAGAGAACTCAAGAATCCAGGGTTCTCACACCTGCCTGGCAGCTCCTAGTATGTAGCATGTGTATGATGCCCATCCGAGAGGTGGGCCTGGGGCCCTGGGGTTGCCATGAGGCGTGTGTGCAGCCCCTCCCGCGCTGCTCCCCAAGTGCAAACCTGCTGCTCCTCCTGGGCAGTTACCTCCCTCTAAGGTCCTGTTGACTCCCAAACTGAGCCACCAAAAGCTTTCTCCAGTCTAACCACAGTGAACACCCACGGTTGCTTCTAGTCAGGGTTTTCCTGGAACCCCTGATCTTCCAAGCAGAGGGTGAGCTACAGCAGGGTAGCTGATGAGGAGGAGTCAAATCCTAGCAGAGAAAAGAGGTAGAAACATGGAGCTCAAAGGAGAGGGGCAGATACTCAGAGACATGGGGCACAAAGGACCTGTGTAGGGTGACAAATTGACATAAAAGGCCCATAGCAATGGGGGAAGGAGGACTAGAGAGGAAAAATTGGCATTAAATAGCAGAAATAGGTGTAATTCCAGTGCTTTGGGAGGCCAAGTTGGGGAGGGTTGTTTGAGACCAGCCTGGGCAACATAATGAGATCCCCATCTCCATAACAAATATAAAGATTAGCTGGGCTTGGTGGTGCACCCCTGTAGTCCAGGCTCCTCGGGAGGCTGAGATGGGAGGGTCACTTGAGCTCAGTAGTTAGAAGCTGCAGTGAGCTATGATTGCGCCGCTGCACTCCAGCCTGGGCAACAGAGCAAGACCCTGTATCAAAAACAACAAAAAAGAGGCAGAAATAGGCAGGGACCTAAAAAAGCAGAAAGGTAAAAAGACACAAACTAAGAAGGAGAGATGATGGAAAAGAGACTGGGCTAGAAAAGCAAAGGAAAGCAGAGAGGAGAAGAAAGGAGCAGAAAAAAGAAAAGGGGGAGGAGGAAGAAGAAAGGAGACTTCCTACCTAAGAGAAAACCACCATGGGGCTGGGCCCCAGAAAACCCCCAGACCAGGCCACTCCTCCCTCCTTCTCCCCCCTGACCGCCCCCTCTCCCTCTGCCCAGCCCGGCTCCGATGGTTTCCCTGCGGTCGGTTTATTTTTAAAAACGCCGACGCCGTCCCCCGCCCGGCCCTCACACTGCGGCCACAGGGGCCTCAGCCAAGCCCAGGGACCCCACCCAGCTGTGGGGAGGGAAGGAGGGGTGAAAGAAGGCAGCCAGCCCTAGGCCAACAGGAGACCCCAGCTCTGGGGAGTGGAGGCCCAGAGGGCCCTTGAGGGCAGGGAAGGGGGAGGGAAGAACCAGACCCACTCAGAATGCTCTGGAGGCTATGGGCTGAGCACGTGGCTAAGTTTCACCACAGCCTCAGTTTCCTTCTCTTGCTGATTGTTCTCTCCTGGGAACTCGGGGAAAGAGTCCTCGTTAAGAGTTCTAAGTACGTGTCCCCATACCTGATCAGAAGTGTTCCCTTTCCAGGGCCCAGTAGTCCCACCTTCCAGCTGTTCCCTCCCGACCTCCACCCACCACCTTTAAAAAAATAAAAACAAAACAAAAAAACAGACTTCAAGTATTGAAGTGGGACTGTTTGGAAAAAGAACAGGATAGGAGCGGTCCCAACTTTCCCACCCAGATGTGGAGCAGGGGAACGGGACCCCTCCTCCCAGGGAGCTGGTGGTGCAGTGCCCAGCCTGGCCTCCCAGTGGGAATCTCACTAGACATCTCAGGGCTGACTGGCCTTAGGTTCCGAGCAGCCAAGATCCCATTTTCCAGTTCTCAACGTTCTCAGCCTTCTCCCAAGTTCGTTAGTTCTCCCGGCTTCCCAGTTCTCCATTCCCACCTAGGCATCCAACAATTCTGCCTCCTTCCTGTTCCCCTGCATTTCACTTGGCCCAGGTGAGCCCCCCATCAAGCAGCAGCTGCTTCCCTCTCTGAACCCCAAGTTCTTCCCACTACCAGAGAGCCTACCCATACCAGGCAGAGGGGTTCCTGGGGAGATGGGGAGGAAGTTGAGGACCCAGGTACCCAAAAACTAGGTGAGAGTGGTAGAGAGACGGACGGGAGGGACTGGTGTGCCTGTGTTGTAGGCATCTCCAGCTCGCAGGAGTGAGGGGACGTGAAAGGCTAGCTTCCACGACACCCTCCTCTCACCATGCGCTACCCCAATCCTATGTCTTTCCAGCAGGCCTCTGAGCCAGTCCCTCCCAAGCCACCAGCGCCACGTTGGCAACAC